CGTCCCTGGATACTCAGGAAATGGAGGAGGTTGGGGGCTTAAGCCAAGACTGGAGGCTGAATCTGAATCTGAGCCCCCAAAAACCTGCCCATAAAAGGAAATTTGATAACCTTTTCCCTACTCTCAAGAATGACAGAGACCATTGGGATTTACTGGGCCAGGAATTTTACTTTTAGTGTTCCCTCAGGGGAAGCCTTATCATCCCGTCTTCTTTCATCGGGCAGGTCCAGAAGGTCAGAGGTCATACTTTGCTGGGCTGCCACAGGCCAAGCACAGGCAGGGGAGGGGGCTCCGAGGATGATACACTGGCTTTCCCAGATGGCCCCTGGCCAGAGCTAGCTGCTCTCTGCACAGAGCTCTTGTGGCAATTTCTATGCCACAGGATGACAGACCGCAGTGAGTGTCATCTGAACTGTGTTCTTTGTGGTCTCCTGGCCTTCGCGTGAACTGTCCTTTCTGCCCGGAGTACTCTTTCTCTCGTTCCTGTAGGCCCCTGTAAAAGCATGTGTCCCTCCCCCAGCGTTTCCTACATCCCTCTTCCAGCCCAGTCACATGGCAGCTACCATTTCCTGGGAGTCTACTGTGTGCCCGCACATGGATCAGCCGAAGTCACAGTTCCCCAAGAGAAACGTCTTGCAGTTTTCGGAGTGGATCTCACTCGCTTTTGCTTTTGCTTTTGCCATTCCCTCTGCCTGCAACACCCTTCCCATTGCCCTTTGGGAGACGTCTTTAAGACTCATCGCCTCTCAGAAGCCTTCCTGGACCCCCATTCCCAGTCACTGAGCTCCTAGCACTTACCCCATCCCAAGGCAGCTCCCTGCCTGCAGCTACAGGGACCCTTTGCTCATGTCCTCATGTCTGGAGGCTGGAGGCTCATCCAGGGTTTGGCTGGTCTGATCTATTTTTGTAATCCCCAGGATCTGACAAAGTAGGGGCTAGCCAATCTCTATTTTATTTTACTTTTATAAACCTTTTATTGATGTGTAATTGACATATCATAAGTGCATATCTTGATGAACTTTTAGAGTCAACATATCCATGCAACCTCCACCCAGATCAAGAAATAGGACAGGATCAGCACTCAGAGGCCTCCAGTGCCCCTTGTCACTCCTTTGCCCCACCGACTTGTCCCAACATGTGTGGCTCTAGGACTTCACAGGAATGAGACTACACAGCACGTGCTCTCGTGTGCTGGCTTCTTTCTCTCCACGTGATGTGAGTGTCTCCTTTGTTGCTGTGTGCAGCCAGCTCGTTCCGCACCCCCCACCCCCCAGGGCTGTAAAGTACTTCGTTGCATGAATATATCACAGTATATTTGCCTGTTCATCTTCGGGGGGTGGGGCATTAAGTCGTTTCCAACTTGGGGCCATTACAAATAGAGTGTCCACTGCCACGAGGACCTGCGGTTTGGTACCCACACACAAGTGCTTCTGCTGCTCCGTCCATCTTTCTGAATCTCCATCTTTGGGAGCAGACATATGTTACCTCACCTGCTCCACACAACAGCTCTACTAGAGGGTGGATACTTCTTTCTGTGTTACAGATGAGGAAACTGAGGCACAGAGAAATAAAGTGGCCAGGTAGAGGGGACAGGAAGGACAGCAGAGCAGCAGCCTCAGGAGAGAAGCGGGGCTCTAGGGAGGTGTGGGTAGCCTGGCTGGGGCTGCAACTGAGCCGAGGCTCTGGAGGGGGGGCATCATGATGGTATCTGGGCTGCTGGGAACATAGCTGGGGAGAGGATGCTGCTGGGGAATGACCCGCACCCGGTTGCCCCCTGATAAGCTGCAGCAGGAAGTAGGGGGTGGGCATGGGAGAGGGGAGCTTCCTCTTGACTGTGACGCATCTGGTTCTCTCCTCCCATCCTCCTCCCAGACAACCCCAGGGGCTGGTGGGGAGCACAGGGTGAGCCTGAGAGGTTGAGAGGACTGAGCCTCAGGGAGAGGATGACAAAAATAATGTTGTTGGCTAAGTGTGAGGGGTCCCTAGGCCCCCTTAGCGGTGGGAGGTCAGGGGCAAAGGGGAGAGGGGGCAAGAAAGGGTGTGCTCTTGGGATCCATTCTTCATTCTCTGTTTGTTGGGGACAAGCCCGGGCCTGACTGCTTCTGCAGCCTCAGCCACGTCACACATAGGCCTCTGCTTTCCTCATAAAAAAGTGAGGGAACCATCCTGACCTCACAGATTTGTTAGGCAGACAAAAAGAAGTTCACGGATAGGAAAGTGCCCTCGCACTGGCTGGCATATAGTAGGTGCTCACTGAGGGTTGGGTTCTCTGTCAGTTTTAGCCCCTGAAATCTCAGAGGGTGGGTCTCTGCCTGTCTGCTTCTGAAACACTGGGTCCTGAGCCCCTAGGAGCTCTGAAAGAGTGGCCCACCTTTTTGGAGGCTTAACTTGTGTTTGAACGCCAGAATCGGTGGGTCATCACCACCATCACCACCACCAAGCATATCATAATGTCACCATCACCATCAGCAGCAGCAGCATCAAAGCCGTGTGACCACTGCAGCTAATCAACACTTCCCAGTATGCTCATTGGTATTACCTCCATCACCACCACCCCAGCCACATCCACCGTCACCTCTCATAACTGTCACCACCATGCCAAACCCAGTGACAGGCAAGCCCGTCCCCACCTCCCAGTGCGGTCGCCATTGTAGCCCACCTGACCAACATTTCTTCCACTACCTTCAGCCACGGCACCACTGCCACTTGGCCATGCCATGTTCAGGAGTGCCCCGTTCACTCAGTCCTCCCCGATTTTTCCTCTCTTCTTCCAATCCCTGCCCTCTTTGTTTCAGCCCAAGCCGTTGGTTGCTCCTCAGAGCCACCAGGAAAACAAGTAGAAAATCTCCTGGCCCCCTGGCCACTGGCCTCACTGCTCAACTTAGGGAAGTAGTGCTTGTTATTGAGAAAGGAGGAACAGACTGGGGCTGGGGCTGGGAATGGGAACCGAAACCAGGGAGAAACACAGGGAAGAGGTTTAAAAGGCCAATGCAGAGCGGGGGCGCAGTGAGCAGGGCTGGGCATGGTCACTCAGCCTGAGTCCTGACTTGGCCCCAGGAGGACTGAGGCTGATTCTGGCTCTGCAACAGGCTTTCTGTGTGACCTTGGGCTGCTCACTACCTCTCTCTGAGCCTCATTTCCCTAATGGCAAATCCTCCCTCTCTGGGAAGAGGCATTATCCTGGATCTGCCCTGCCAGGCTCCAGGCCTTTCTCATGATGTTCCTCTTTCCTGAAACGCTTTTCTCTCTTCTCTGTTGGAAAACTTTTCCTTATTTTTCAAAGCCACCTAAGCCCACTGTCAGCCCCTGGCACCTTGTTGCTGGTGCTGCCCGACCACCCAGACCACACCAACCAAAAGCAGATGATGCTCGCTGAGCAACCTATTGCCAGCCCCTAAGCTCGGTGCAAATACAATGCAATTTATTCCTTACTAAATCCAGTGATTGACATTTTCCAGATGAGAAAACTGAGAGGTGATAGAACTTGCCCAAGTTCACATAGTGATCTGGATTCAAGCCTACCTCTGTCTGACTCTGGAGCCCAGCTCTTCATTATTCTTCTGTGTTGTCCTTTTCTGATCCTGAACAGGATGTAAGATGGCAAGGAGACAGATTGAGACCTGTGTCTAAACTAAAAAAAAACAAAAACAAAGACCAAAAAACAAAAAAAACCCCACATAGTCGGCAAGGAGGAAACAGATGGTGGGTGTTTGGTTGCTTGTCAGCCGAGCATGAGTTACCAATGCAGTGCTGCCTAGAAAGCCAATGTAAACTTAGGGCATGTTAATAGAGGTAAGGCACCTATTATGGGGGAGGAGATAGTCTTGTTCTCAGCGTGGGTGGATGGTACCTAGAGAATGTGTGTGTGTGTGTGTGTGTGTGTGTGTGTGTGTGTGAGTGTGTGTCGTGGGGGAAAGGTAAAAGGCCTGCTTACAGAAGACCGTGAGTTCTTGTGGCTAGAAGCATTTAAGCAGAGGCTGCATGGCCCAGGATACCTGCATTGGAGGGTAGAAGGCACAGGCCAGTTAACCTCTAAGGTTTTTTTAAGCTGCTTTTTTGTGGCTGGACTTTAGCTGTTACCAGGACCATCCCAACAGATTCACCCCTTCTCCATCATTCTTAGCAAGGGTCCCCATTAGTCCATTTGTCTGTCCATCTATCCATCCATCCATCCACCCACCCACCTATCCATTAATTTATTCATCAAATACAATAGCTAGAGCATTGAACAAGAGAGAAGCAGCAACCTACAGACCAGTGGGGATAATAATAATAATAATAATAATAATAATAATAATAATAATAAGCATAGACTGAGTGTTTATGATCTGCCAGGCACTTTAAGTGAATTATATCTCATCTGGTCCCACTACAATCTTATGAGACATGTATTGTTTTTATCTCCATTTTGCATATAGGGAAATTGAGAAGCCATGGGGGATGAGTTAGGCAGGGCACCCCGGAGATTTGTGGGTCAGATGCTCCCAGGCCTGTGTTGATGACTCCAAGAACTTGAAGCTCTCTGATGCTCAGATGCTGTGACTAAGATCCCATATGCCCAGTGCCTGTTGTTATAAAAGAGGGTGCAGAGCAGGGGCCCGTCTTATCCCGCTACCTCCTCTTTAAGCCTGACCTTCAACAGCCCCAGTTACTGCTTTACCGAGAACATGGTTCTAAGTCTTCTCCTGGGACGTTCTCATTTACTCCTTGAAATAGCCTCCTAAGGTAGCTACTACGTTATCCTCAATTTACAGAGGGAGAAACAGGCACAGAGAGGTCAAGTAACTTGCCCAAGCTCACGCAGCTGGGAACAGGAAGAACCAGCGTGAGCCATCTATCTGTATAGGCCACGCTTTTATCCAGGATGCTCCACTCACCCGCATTCCATCTCTCCCAGGACCCCTCCTCACAAGCCCCTGGCTGCACACCCTGGGGGAGGGAAGAGGCTGGTGGGAGAGCAGTGCAGACCCCTGTTGACTGATGCTCTGTTCTTCCCCCAGATCATGAGTATCTTGCTGTTCATCGAGCACTCAGTGGAGGTGGCCCACGGCAAGGCGTCCTGCAAATTCTCGCAGACAGGCTACCTCAGGATTGGTAGGTCCAGGAGACAGGAAGGGGGATTGGGGAAAGGGAGGGGAGGAGCTCTGGCTGGGGGTAGACAATCTGGGGTTTGAGGCCCTGCCACTTGCCCTCTTTGAGCCTCAGATAGTTCATCTGCAAATGGGGCTATACCACCTGTCCTCCATCTGGGTCCCCAGGGGTGGGAGCAGATAGGATGGCGTTTTGCAAGCCTAACCAGCTTAGAAAGATGAGGACTCTCTTACTTACACCCACCAATGGCTGCCTTTCACACTAGGATAAAATTGGAACTCCTCACCTTGAAACCCAGGCCCTGTTGACCTATCTGGCCACATCTCGTATCTCCCTCCAGGCTCCCGCTTGCTCTCCGCGCTCTAGCTGTACTGACCACTCCTTATCTAAGGGCCTCTGCCTGGACACCTTATCACTCAGCTCACAGGCCACCTCCTCAGAGGCCTTCCTCGACCTCACCCTGGTTAAAGCAGATGTCCAGCCTGCCCATCCCAACCCCCTCCAGCACCCTCTGTTACACCCTCTTGTGTCACCTGAAATGTTCTGTTTGTGTCTTTGTAGCCCCTCAAGACTGAGAACTGCAGGAGGGCAGGGCCTGGGCTTTCTTATTCACTGTCATAGCCCCTACACCAGTGGTTCCCAAAGTGTGGTCCTTGGAGCCCAGGTGGGGTTCCCTAGGGCACCTCTGGGCCCTCACTGTTCTCCCTTGCTTTTCAGCTGACCTGATCTCCAGCTTCCTGCTCATCACCATGCTCTTTTTCATCAGTGTGAGCCTGCTGATTGGCGTGGTCAAGGTGAGGGCCCTTTGGGGGAGGGGCAGGGGAACCAGGACTTTGGGAGCCCCAGCTGCTCTCCTGCACCCCTCCTAGTCACATCCACTGGGTGGGCAGCACTGGCTGCTGAGAGGGTGGGAGGTGGGTATTTTGGGAGACTCCTCCTATACCCAAGAGATCATCGCTGGTGATCCGCAGCCTTTTAAACTGCAAATGGAGGCAGAGAATTTTGGTAGAGAAAAGAAGAAGAGCCATTTGAAGAAGGGGAGGTTGGGGAGAACGCAGTGGGTTTGTAATCAGTGAGGGGAACCAAGCGAAGGGGAGCCAAGCAGAGGGGGGAGGGTAGACATATCCAGCTCAGTTCCATCTAGTGAGCAGATGAGAGAGATATAGGCTGTGGCACAACCTCCTGCAAAGAGGAGCCGCCTGTCCCTCGTCCCCAGGGAGGTGGGAAGCAAGGGCCTGGCCACATGGCCCACCAGAGCAGGACCAGAAACAGGGCCCTTCCTGGTCAGACAGCAGCCCGGCACTCGCAGGGCCAGCAGAGGTCTGGTTCTGGTCTGGGACGTCTCCACCTTGCCTGAAATGTCGCCACCACCCCTTGGCTAATGCCATTCTCCCCTCCCTGCGCTCCAGGGATGGATTCCACCTTGCACGGGGTGCTTGTGCAGAAACGCGAGTAGGTCAGGCTGTCGTCCCTGGAGTCTCTGAGACTCAGTCCGGGTTGTTTCGGCCACCTCGCAAGTGATTTTAGACAGCCACACGAGAAACCACAAAACCACCCTTTCTGTGATTTTGTCGCCAGTCATGGGTTCACATGTATTAAGACTGGCCACGGTGGTTACTTGCTCAAAGTTGAAAGAGAAGGATTTTAGCCTCAGCCTCCCGGGGCTTCTCGCCATGACTGGATGGCCTCAGGGTCACCCGCATGCAGAAGGTCTGACTGTTTCGGCAGCGCTGGCTCTCCTCTACCTCAGGGCCTTTGCTCATGCCGGCTCGTCTGCCTCCAGGATCCTCCTCCTTTCCCTCTTCTTTCCAGATCTACCCTGGTGTCCCTACCTCCAGGAAGTCCTCTCTGATAGCTTCTCATCTGTAAAATGGCCCATTCTCTTGAAAGGGAGTTGAGTTAAGCCTACTCCTGGACCCTGGAGCACTGAGCTCTGTGGATGAGGACTGTTCCTGTGTCTCTGGGGACACAAGGCTCCTTGTACTTGGGGCCTGGGTCTTGCCTTCTTCCTGTTCTCAGAGCCTCACTCAGAGCAAGGCATGGGGACCCACGGGTAGGAAGGTTTGGGAGGGAAGGGAGCTATTTGTGAGGGGGTGCATGGGGACATCGGACCACTCAGGGAAGTATTATGCAAAGGACTCCTTGATAGTGCTGGGCCTGCCTTTCAGAACCGGGAGAAGTACCTGCTGCCCTTCATGTCCCTGCAAATCATGGACTTCCTCCTGTGCCTGTTCACCCTGCTGGGCTCCTACGTGGAGCTGCCCGCCTACCTCAAGTTTGTGTCCCGGAGCCGGAGCCGGGCTGTGAGTACCCAGTCCTGCCTAGTAGGGAAGGTGGGACGGTCTCAGGGGGTGACGGGGAGCCCCCAAGGCCCCTTCCTAGTTGGTGACCTTCGGCAAGTCCCTGAACCCCTCCAGATCACCCTGAGCTCCTTTCTCTGTCAAATGGGTCTGTGACCCCATCTTATCAATATGCCCCAGGAGCATTAAATGAGGAATATGTATAGAGGGTGCTCACACATGGCAAGCGCTCAACAAATGCCAGCCACGGGTGAATTCACAGCAGAGGAAAAGCCTCGTGCCCCATTTCAGCCCCAGCCCTGCTTTGTCTCTCCTTTGTAACCAAGTTCTAAGGGAAGATAAAGGTGATTAAAGTCGTGCTGAGCACCCACAGTGGGATGCCTGTAAGTGACTGGTGTGGCTCCCTGAAGCTGCTTTCCACGGTCCCCTGACTGTTGTGTTTGAGGGGACTGGGGTGATATACTTCAGAAGGGCCCTGGTGGGGAGTCAGGACCTTGGTTTTAGTACCCGGTCTGCCACCAGCCCTTGTGAACATCTGAGGAATGGGCGTCCATTTCTTTTGGGGTACCGTGGACTAGAGAGTCACTGGTACTCTCTAGCTGAGATAGTCTCTCAAGATGAGCCCCTGCCACTGCCATGAGCCCTACAGCAGAGGTCTTCAACCTTTTTGGCACCAGGGACTGGTGCTCCTATGAGAATCTAATGCCTGATGATCTGAGATGGAGCTGAGGCGGTGATGCTAGCGCTGGGGAGCGGCTGCAAATACAGATGAAGCTTTGCTCACCAACCCACCGCTATGTGGCCCAGTTCCTAACCGGCCACAGACCAGTACCAGTCCACAGCTTGGGGATTGGGGACCCCTATTCTAGAGTTCCAAGGCCTCTGGTTGGGGCTTAATTGCTGGTCTATCTTCATGCTCATCTTTATCCCCTTAAGCCCCCCTCCAAGGTCCCACTGATGACCCTGCAGCTCCTGGACTTCTGTCTGAGCATCCTAACCCTCTGCAGCTCCTACATGGAAGTGCCCACCTATCTCAACTTCAAGTCCATGAACCACATGGTGAGTCTTGGGCAAGGGTCCACCCACTCCCGTCACTGGCTGTGTGGCCGCGAGGAAGTTGCTTCCCCTCTCTGTGCCTCAATGCTCAGGCTGGGTTCTTAGAAGCAGAGCCTGGGAGGAGGATTCTTGTATGAGTAATTTATATAGGGAGAGTGCTCAGGGAGACCTTGAAAGGAGAGCGGGGAGCAGGTTAGAAACACAGAGGAAGCTGTGGACTTTAGAGACAGCCCTGCCCAAGTCCAGAGAGAGCCCAGGAGTGTGAATCGCATTGCAGAAATAGTAGTAGTTTTTTATTGCTGTCTAACCAATTCGCTCTAAGCATACTGACTTAAAACAATAAAAAATTGTTATCTCACACAGCTTCTGGGGATCAGGAATTTGGGAGTGGCTTAGCTGGGTTGTGCAAACTCAGGGTCTTTCAAGAGGTTGTACCCCAGATGAGGATAGGGCTACAGATGCCAAAGGCTTGGCTAGGTCTGAAGGATCTGTCCCCAAGATGGTGTACTCACATGCTGCCAGCTTTTTGCCTCAATTCCACATCTTGTGCACTTTTAATAAGGCTGCTTGAGCATCTTCATGTCATGGCTCCTGGCTTTCCCTGAGTATCCGAGAGAGAGCAAGGAGGAAACTGCCATGTCTCGGAGGTTACACTCACCTCTATTATCTGTGAGAAGTGAGTCTCTAGGTCTGACTCACACTTGAGGGAGGGAAATGAGCTCTACATTTTGAAGGGAAGAGTGTTAAAGAATGCATGCACGTATTTGCAAATGCCGCAGAGACTGTTTCACTGTGAGCAGTGACCTGGCATCAGCCACTGCTTGTGAGCTGTTCCTAGGGGAGGGGGCAACCACCCAGGTACTAGGAAGTTGTAACCAAAAAAGGATTAGGATAAGGTGGTTATATAGCCAAGACTGTCCTTTAGAGAAGGCCATGTCCACCGCCAGCTAGGGGATGGGGGCACTGCCAGGTAAGGGCTATCTGCGTGGGCAGTGACTCCATGTGCTTCCCTCGGTTTGCTCACCTGTCTCATGAAACTGAAGGTGGCACCTGACTCCCAGGGCCCTTGCAGGGATTGGCCAAGGTAATGGCTGTACCACACCATGTTCCAGTGTGTGTGAAGAGCTGGCCTTTCATTCTTCCACATGTGAGCACTGTTAGAATTCCTCATGGCCACCGGCACTGATGTGGCCCCCAAATCTGTTGCAGAATTATTTCCCCAGCCAGGAAGGAATGGCTTATAACCAGTTCATCAAGATGATGATCATCTTCTCCATCGCCTTCATTGCTGTCCTCATCCTGAAGGTAAATAGCTACTGCCCCATGGCTCTGGGAGGAGTGGTGAGGTTGTGCCTCAGCGCCACCCACGCCAGACTGTTAGGAGGCAGGGGAATGTGTCTCCTGCTGCTGCCCCCCTGCTTTTGGCTCCTTATTCCAGCCCTCCCCACAGCAGCTCCTCTGAGCCCACTTGGGATCTTCGGGGACACCCCATTTGGATCTACAAAGACCACTTGCATTCAGGTGCCAGGGACTCAATGCATAACGCAGAGAGGCTCTGATCCAGGGAAGGAGGAATTGTTCTGTCTGGAATTTGAGTCAGAAGGACCTGAGTTTGAATCCTAGCTCTCTCCTCACTAGCTGTGTGGTTATTTTTCAAGTCTTTTCTCTCTGGGCCTCAGGTCTCATCTGCGAAAGGAACATTATAAGTCTTACTTTGCCCATGTCACAGTTTTATGTGACTCAGGCACCAAAATGTAGATGGGTCCTGGGATCATATTACTAGAGGTTTGGTGATGAGAAGGAAGGAGGGGAGTGGTTTTATTCTTCTTTGGGGTGGTCAGACCAGAGGATAGAGTCCAGTTTCAGGTTCCCGTTATTAGATAGATGGTGACATACCAAAGTGTGTTAATAGCAGCACAAACAGGAGGGTTGAGAGGCAAGAAAACTTTGCCATGTGAAAGAATTAAGGAAACCAGGGCAATTCAGCTTGCAAAAGAGATGACTCAAGAGGGACATGATTGCTGTTTCCAAACACTCAAAGGACTCTCATGGGGATTCTAGAGGCCACAATCAGGACTGTGGCCTGGACCCGGAGGGAGGCTAATGTTGACTCAACAGAAGAAAGGGCTTTTAAAAAGTGTTCTTATCTGACAGAAAGTAACATACAATCATTGTAGACACTTAGACACTACAGATGAGCAGAAAGGAGACCATCAGCCCACCATCCACCACCACTTGGAGACCAGCACCAGGAGGTCTGGGTGCACATCCTCCCAGCCTTTTTATGTGGTGGGTGTAAGCTGACATCACTGCCTCCTTTCATGGGAGGCCCTGAGCAGTCTCTGGCCTCACCAAATGCCGACCTGAAAACAGAACTTCACTCTCTTTTTAACCTTCCTTCAAAGAACCGACCAAGCACAAACACATCAGTGATATGCAGTGAGAGCTTTCCCAGAGGCTTGGGGAAAACCAGTGTGGGGGTCTATATCACACACTTGGGTAGAGGACAGCTCCCCAAACCATGCCACGAAACTCCGTCCTCCCTGCCCCTTTCCTATTCTTGATGCTCCTTGCACTGGGGGTTCTCTTGGGACCCCTCACTCGGTCTCATTGGCCACCTTCCACCTACTTGATTTTTCCTGGCCCTTCATACTTCATTATTTTATAATCCATCTTATTTATCTCTGCCCCTTCTGAGTCCCCATCACAAGACTCTATAAAACAAGAAAACTTCCAGATAACAGGACTGGAGAGAACTATTGGCTATTGTTCCTTGAACATGCCCCTGGGGACTTCACACCCTACTCTGGAAATTGTCTCCCTAATTCTTATATCAATCGCTAAGAGAGAGCAGTTGCTTACATCACCTGACAGATATATACATCTGTACATATAATTCTTTTGCATTTACAAACATGGAATAGTACTGCGTACACTGTTTTGCAATCTGCTTTTAAAAAAACATATCATAAGTAATTTTCAAGAAAATTGGTAGAAAATAGCATCTTTAACCTACCATCAGCTCTGTCTCAAGGTAGGTGGACTGTCTCAGGAAGTAGTGAGCTCCTAGTCCCCAGGGGTGGACAAGCAGGATCTGCAAAATTATTGCTAGGGGGAACTGGAGAGTACCCCAGAAGTCTCTACAAAACCCCTTCTTGTGCTGAGTCTGTGGGGACAGTGAAATAGGAAGTATCTGAAATATCTGGGACTGGCAGGTGGGGCACCCCTAACCAGAATAGTGGTCTGAGAAGCAACAGCTGGATGCCTTCTGGGGTGAGCTGGGGCTCCTCAGGAAGCGTCTGGCATCTGTCCCTGGCTTGCTGGGTTAGTGAGGAGCAGGGTCAGCAACACATGGCCTGACCTGGTCCTTTTCCAGGTTTACATGTTCAAGTGCGTGTGGAGATGCTACAGAATCATCAAGTACATGAACTCGGCCGAGGAGACGAGCAGCTCCAAGATGCTCCAAAAGGTGAGTCTGGTAGGGGGTCAAGTCCCAGCTCTGCCATTTATTGTGACATTTGTGGCAAGTCTCTCTTCCTTGCGAGGCCTCAGTTTCTTTGCTTGTAAGATGAAGGTTAGACCACGTGAAGATCTCGTTCAGCTCTGATAGTCTAGGATCCTTTCATTTGTGCATTCTACATTTTCTGCCTCTTGCTCTCTGTTGGCCTCATATCCAACCTTGGGGGTGCAGAGAAGGCTAAGATATCACCCTGTCCTAGAGGAGTGTATAGTCCAGAGTGAATCCAGATGCAGAGCTCTGATTACAACTTGATGTGCAGCACGGGGCCAATGGGAGCACAGAGGAGGCAGCTGGCCTCACCTGGGGCATCAGGGAAAGCTTCTTGATGGAGGTGATACTTGATCAAGTCGCAAACTGCCGATGGATATAAGTTAGCTGAGAATGGGCAGGGGCCTTTTAGGCAGAGTGATGAGGTGCATTAGAAACAACTGATCGGAGAAGTGATGGGAAAAGTGCAGCTGGTTTAAATTACTACTGGTTCACTTTCCTCATCTGTAAAACGGGGATTGTATTAGTTAAAACTTGTTTGGTTAAAAGTGGCAGAAGCCCAACTCAATCTGACTTAAGTTTTAAAAAAACGAAATGTATTAAGTCACAGAATTTGAAAATCCAATGTAGATCTGGCTCAGGCCTGGTTGAGTCCTGACGTTTGGATGTGATCTCATCCTCTCTATCTCTTGATGACTTTTCTCAGTGTTGGCACTATTTTCAGGCGGCCCTTTCCTCATGGTGGTAAAATGGCTGCCAAAATTCCTAGGCAGACATCCCATCCTCTCAGTTACCCCAGCAGAAAGACAGTCCTGGAGCATGTCTGATTGGACCAGCTTGGGTCATAAACCTAGTCTCAAACCAATGAAAACGTCATCCTCTCTACCTCTTGATGGCTTTTCTCAGTGTTGGCACTATTTTCAGGCGGCCCTTTCCTCATGGTGGTAAAATGGCTGCCAAAATTCCTAGGCAGACATCCCATCCTCTCAGTTACCCCAGCAGAAAGACAGTCCTGGAGCATGTCTGATTGGACCAGCTTGGGTCATAAACCTAGTCTCAAACCAATGATAGATAGCCAGGAATGAACTTGGAGTTGCCACACCCAGGTTGCACATCCACCCCCAGGATCTAAGGGATGGGGTCAATTCTTCCCAGGGAAAGTGATGTGTTGTTACTAAAACAAGGGGATTTGATGCTGAACAGGCAGAGGCACATCTGTCCACTATAGGAACCGAAATTGCACCTATCTTGTGAGTACAATACCTAGTACATAATATACCCAAGATGTGCTAGTTGTCATCATCATCATCATCATCCTTTTGCCAGAGATGGGGTTGGAGCACCCTTGACCCCAAGCTGGAATTGTGTTTCCTTCTGGCCAAAGCTCAGCCCTCACCTTTGTCCCTCCCAGGTGGTCCTGCCATCTTACGAGGAAGCCATGTCTCTGCCACCCAAGACTCCGGAGGGGAACCCAGCGCCTCCCCCGTACTCTGAGGTGTGACATGCACCAGGCTCCAGCCCTAGTGCTGAAAGGGGCGGAGCTGCCTGCAATCCGCTTCTTGGCTTTGGTGGCTCCTGTGACCTGGATGAACCACCCAGCTGACTTCAGGACAATCTGCTTGTGTCCCCCTCGCTGGCCTGCTTTTCCTGTGGGGCCTGGGTGATATTCACAGCTGAGTCAACCCCTTAGGCTGAATGGCTCCTTGAGTATCTCAAAAATTCAATCCAACAACACTTGGCTTGTTTCGATCAGCTCTGACATTTGTTTAAACAATTGGTCATTCTAAATTCAGTGAGTTTGGTTAAATAACTTTCAGCTTGACCAGTTTAACCAGGAGATTGATAAGTTTTTTTAAAATTACTTGTCAGTTCAGTAAAATAATTTGGTCAAACAACAACAGCCCATTGCATTGGTTTGTAAATAGTCATCAGTTCATACAGTAGTTTAGTCAAGTAATATTAGTCTTCCCCACCAAATCCATATATCCAATTTCTTCAAATAGCTTGCTTACATAATTATAAAATCAGCCAACCATCAGTCAATTTAGAATAGTGATTAAATTAAATCATTAAAAAAAGAAAGAGAGAGAGATTAGCTCCCAAACCATTCAATTCGATCTGATTCAATCACTGGTTCTCATTCTGGTCAGTTCAGTATTTCCAAGTTGCTGAATAGTCAAGACAATTGCCAAACCATCATTCAACAGCTTGTTCCAGGAAACAACAGAAGTTTCAATCGTCAAACAGTCCCTTCAGATACACATTGTTTTGGTCAAGAGTTGTCATCGTCAGCAATCACAAGTGGTCAGAGAAGTCACCTAGCAGTGGACTCTGTGCATAGGTTGCCTCAGCAGCAGTCATCTCTAGCAAGGAGCCTTCATCCATTCCACAGGCCAGTCCATCCGTCACCGATTTGCTTGTAGGTGACCCAGTTTTGTCTGAGGCTTGGGGTCAAGCAGAAATTCAGCCCTGAAATCAGGCAAATCCCATTTGTTGGACTAAACGAGCAAGTTAGTTCAGTCAAAACAGGCAAACCCTTTGTGGGTACAGATCCTGCCAGGGGGGCTGGCAGGGAGGGTTTTGGTCCCAACACTCCCTCTTTTGCTTGCTTCTCTGAGGGCTGGAGTTCCTGAGGGAGCTGGCCCAAAGATGGAGGCGGGGCCATGGAGGCAGGCTCTCCAGGGTCTTGTAGGGCGGTGCAGAGGGAGAGGATTGCAAGAGGCTCCCTGCCCACACTGCTCATGTAATCGCTTCATGTGGGATGGGGAAGAAGTTTCAATAAAGCAGCAACGTGCTTCTCTTGGGCTGATGTGGTTCCTTAAATATGGCGTAGTTGGGGCTCCATCACCCTCAACACACACACACACACACACACACACACACACACACACACACACACACCTGTTTGTTTAGTCCAGAGACTCACTGGCCCATGTCATGACCTGGCACTGCTTCTGATTACAAATCATGGTCCATGGAAGCACCCTAATATCTCCCAGATAAGGTGTGAACTTCACTCACCTGGAGAGTACTCACATAGAGCCAGGTGCTGCGCTGGGCACTGGGGTGATCTCGATGGGTCAGACTTGCCTCTGGTTACCCACAATCTGGGGTAAGGGAAGACAGATCCATAAATAATTGTAACAGGTCATGGCCAACACCATGACAGGGAAAATCTGAGGGACATCAGGCAGCCAGAGGAGGCTTCTTAGAGGAAGTTTCACCAAGTGGAGTCTGAAGGACAGCTGGGCAGCAGAAAGCTAAGTGGGGAAGGATGTTTTAGGCAAAAGCAGCAGGAAGTGGAAGGCCTCCATGGATGTGGGGGAGGGGAGCCGGGGTTGGCAGCCCAGTGTGACTGCAAGTGGGAGAAGGAGGGAGAGGAGGCTGTGGAGGTCTCGGGGTCCGGATCGGGAAGAGCCTTTGCATATTTTAGGGTTCCTTGGCTGCAAGCCCACCCTGGCTAGCTTCGGCCAAGAAGGGCATTTACAGAAAGTAGATGGTTGCAAGTAACAGAAAGCTTGGTGAACCAAGTTTATTAAAGAAAAAAAAAATGGTGGTCATAATGTTTCTTGGCTCACATAAATGGGAAGTCCAGGGATTTCTGGCTTCAGGCATGGTCGGACCTAGGAATCAAATTCTTCAATAATCTCATTTTCTCCTTCTCCATCTCTTACCTTCTGTCTCCTGGCTGAGCTGCTGTGGTCCTGCCTGAGAGTGAAGTCAGGCAGTTTGAGTTGGGCTCCATCACTGATACCAAAAGAGACCGCACAGAGCCTTGAATGCTGCACCCAGGAGCGTGGACTTATCCTGGGACAAGGGGAGTCTTTGAAAGGTTTTGGGCAAGGGAGTTACAGGGTCAAGTTTGGGTTTGGGATTTAGGAAGGAAGAGACCAAGTGCAGACACGCATAAGAAGGCTGGTGAAGTCACCCTGTGGAGAAGCAGAGAAGCGGATGAATTCGAGAGGTGTTTTCAACCTTGTGGCTTGTCAGCTTTTCTTGGGGATAGTAGATTCCTTCGTGGATTTCATCTGCTCTTTAATCAGATCCCTAAGCAACTGATAAAGCGAGGCTCTAACAGAGGTGGAGTGTGAGCTCCCATTCACACGTGAGGGCAGCGAGGCCCAGAGACATCGAGTGACTTTCCTGAGGCTACACAGCAGAAAGGGATTAGATCAAGTGCCTTTTTTTTCTACTTCAAGTGGAGGCTGTTAAGCGGGGCTGGGGAGCCAGCTGTGTGAACTCTTGATCCATATGAAGAGGACCCACAGAAGCCCCCAACAAATGGGGATTGGGAGCAGAAATTATGGGAGGAGGGGATTGGATTTGCCTCCAGCCTTGTATCCTCATCAAGAGGACACCAAGGGGCCGTGCTGTGTGTCCCGAGGACCAGCTGACATGACGCTCCCACCCCCAACTCTGGCCTGGAGCCAAGGAATAGGCTGAGATGTATAGCAGGATTGTGCCCTGTGGCCAGGAGGCTTGGAGGGGGCCAGCCCGAGGAATAGGAAATAGCTGGGTTTGGGGAAGTCTCGTGGACCAGCCAAACCAAGCCAGCCCGCGATCGGCTGGGCAGCCCTCACTGCAGCCCTCTCAATGCCCTGTTTGAGGCTCACACAGCGGTCCTTTGACAGGGCCGGGTTTGGACCCACTGAGAGGGCCTGTTTGAGCTAGAGCCCTGCAAAGAGCCAGCCCCAGGAAAGAGGGGGCCGAGTGCAAGCTGAGCAGGTGAGGCCACCCGGACAGGCTGTCCCTTGCGGGGAAGGAGAGTCTGCAAAATCTGCTGAGCAGGAGCACCCCAGTTTCTCAAGGCTGTGATGGTAGCAGTAATGGTCCCCGTAATTGAATGGACTCTTCAATCTGTCATCTCCGTGACTCTCCCACTGGCCCTACGTGGCAGGTGCTGTGCAATGATTATTTCTGAGGCCCAGGATGGGCAAGCCACTTGCCCAAGGTCATGACTGATTGAGGGGAAGAGCTGGGGTTTGACTAAAGCCTGAGCTTGTCCCTCTGGTTCTTCCTGCTCCGCCTCATCCACTTCAAAGGTGAGCAGAGTGGTGGCTTCATTTTAGTCCCTTGAACGTGGGACCGAGGCATAATCATTGTTGTATGCCTGGCACTGAGGACAGGCCTGGCTCAAGAGCTTGTGATGGAAGATGAGGGTCCAATGTGGGTGTAGGGCCCAGACAGGAAGCTGATGGGGAGGTGGCTCAAGGGAAGAATGCTGGGGACAGGAACCAGGAAGTGGCCATGGGTCTGGGTAGATTCATAGGGCATTTGGGAAGCAGGACTTGCAGGAGCTGGATATGGTAGTCAGGGGGAGGGAGGATCAAGGCTGGTGTCCAGGTTTGGAGAGCATTTAGGATGATGGTGTCCGGCTCTGAGCTAGGGACACAGGCCAGGGGACAAAAGAAGATAGGTTGAGTTTTGTTTGAATTCGAGCTACCTTGCGGGGGCACGTGAAGGTGCTTGGGAAGCAGCTGTGTTTATAGGTCTGGAGCTCAGGAGAGTAAGGAAGGAGAGAGATGGGGAAGTAAATTTTACCTGTGGGCACGTGGGTGGGATGTCACCACAGTTCATGGAGGTCCATCAGCTGGACGCAATGCTGGCGTGCCCTCGGATGAAAGCACAGGCCTCTTTGCCCTGTCCAGCCTCTGGCTTCCAGCCTGCCCGACTGCTTGCAGGGAATTGAGACCAAGACAGCACATGTGAGGTGTGATGAGCCACATGAGAGACCTCATACACAGGGGCTGTGGCCCTGAAGGGACGTTGTACAGCAGCAGTCCCCAACCTTTTTGGCCCCAGGGACTGGTGCTCCTATGAGAATCTAATGCCTGATGATCTGAGGTGGAGCTGAGGTGGTGATGCTAGCACTGGGGAGCGGCTGCAAATACAGATGAAGTTTTGTTTGCTCCTCCACCTGCTCTGTGGCCCAGTTCCTAACAGGCCACAGACCGGCACAGATCCACAGCCCAGGGTTTGGGGACCCCTGCCGTACAGGATGGGCAGCCCAGCAACACTGCAACAGCCTGGGCGGTGGGGTGAGTTAACCCACTTGGCAGATGAAGAACCCTTGCTTTGTGCTTATCGGCAGGTTCTCTACTTTGTGGAGTCTCTGCTGACTTTTGGGGAGACCAGAGATTCATGCCTAATTAAACACCCTGGGAATGTCTCCAGTTTTCAATGAAATGGTTTTAAGTGTCAAGGAAAGCAGTTCCTAGGTTAAAGAAAGTTGGAGAGGACCCACCCTTGGGCCCACTGAGGTTTCTGGGTGGCATCAGAGCCTCTGCTGAGTATAAGAAGCAGCTTCTGTGGGTCTCTGTGGCCACAGGCCCCTGCCCACCACCTGCCTGGACGGGTTCTCCGGGAGCCAGTGCTCGCACTCTGTTCTCTCTCCTGGGACTCCAGGAGGAGGAAGCCTGTCTAATTAGCCACCAAGAGCATTCTGACAGGCAGTGGGCTTGGCAAAGAGCGGCCAGCACAAGGGAGCCACAGCCCTAAATACACAGAGCACGTCTGCTAAGCAGTTTTGCTGCCACCTCAGGGGCCCAAGCTGTTGAGCAGGACACTGACCTTGCAGTTTTCTCCATTCCACCTGCTGGGGGGACAATCCAGGCAGGGAGACAGCCTGGGCAAAGGCCTGGAGATGCGACCGCATGTTAGCGGGTGACGCCGGTCTGGGAGCCTCACCTCTGATAAATCACAATTTACAACAGTGAAAATACGTTCAGCCTTGACCTCGACAGGGCCGAGTTGCTGGAATTTCATATGTCAGTGGAGCTGAATTCCTGTCAGAGGGCTTTGAGAACAACCAAGACATTTATTCTAAAACACCTCAGGTGGGACAATGGAAGGAACAAGGAACATGCCAGGGATGGCCCTGCGCACCTTCTCAGCTCTCCGACCTGGGGAGACGACGTCAGGCATGTCGGAGTGCAGGGAGGGAAGATTTAAGTGTTCCTGGGGTTGGACAGTCTTTGGAAGCCTGTAACAATCCTCGGCTGCCCGTAGTCACTTCGTGGGTCAGAACAGGGCCAGTCCTTGCTCCCAGGTCACCAAACTCCACAGGGCACTTTCTCCACTACCCTTCATTGCTGAAGGTGACCCAGTGGGAGGGGCCTAGAGACTGAGCTAGGAGAGTAACCAGTGGGCTGTAGTTTGGGTACGTTAGCACTTCGTCCTTCCCGTACTGACCCCGAAGCAACGTCTCCCAAACTGAAAAATGCTGTATTTCCTTGTCAATCCCCTGCCCTCCTCCTCCCTCCCTCCCTTGTTCGATGCCCATGTATACCACTCGAAGCGGGCAGAGTTCTAAGACGTCCTCCAATGACTAAGACCTTGTAGAGTTCTCTCCTCTTGAGTTTGGGTGGAACCTGTGACTCTGACAGGATAGTCACTCTTGTGATTAGGTTCTGTTACATGGCACAGTTGACTTTAAGAAAGGGAGATGATCCTGGGTGAGCCTGACCTCATCAGGCGATCCCTCAAAAGGGCCTGGGCTTTTCCTGAAGAGGGGGACTTGGCATGGGAGAGATTTGAAGCATGAGAGAACCTCGGAGGGGACTACATGACAAGGAACTGTGGGTGGCTTCTAGGAGTTGTGAGTGGCCCTTGGTTAACAGCCAGCAAGAGGATGGGGACAGGGGTGGGGGACTAAATTCTGTGAGCTTAAAAGAGCATCCTGAGCTCGGGAACAGAACACAGCCCAGCCAGCATCTTGATTTTAGCCTGTGAGGCACTGAACAGAGAGCCTAGTTTAGTTGTGCCCAGACTTCTGACCCACAGAAACTATGAAGTAACACATTTG